TATTACTATTATTATTATTATAAGAAATTTGGCTAACAAAATTTAAGTTAGCGCAATGAAGATCACTGGCCATTAATGTTCACTGGTCATTATTGTTCACTGGCCATTAATATTTGCTAGTCATTATTGTTCACTGATCATTAATGTTCGCTAGTCATCATTGTTCACTGGCCATTAATGTTCACTGGCCATAATTGTTTACTAGCCATAATTGTCCTATTAGAAATTTATGTATATAAATGGCAGAATTTCCTTTAATAAAAGATAGATAGTTTTTTAATACAAAAACAAAGAATTAAATACCCGCAATAATAAACAGTTCATCCAATCCTTGAAAAAGTTCGATAAAATCCCTAAAAAATGAATACATTGTTATCCATTATTCCCTTTTACATTTTTATTATAATAAACTCCGAAAGATATAATTAATTATCATACCTGATCATATAGAACGCCGACGTTACAGGCAATATGATATCTATGTTGAATTAAAGTTGAAATTCCGATTATTATATTAAATATTAAATTAGTAAAACAATAAAACATGATACCTTCTGCTTACCTTTAAACTCCATTTATAACCCATAAACATCAAAGAACTGCTATTAACATATGGTGCCTTCTGCCAGAATCTGAATTTAGATAATTTTGCATGTTTCAACCGAGCCTTGATAAAGAAAAATCTCATAACAATCAATTTTCTTGTAACTGTTGTTTCTCTCTTGGATTAAAACTTTGTCTTTGGCATCCTACAGAAGATCCAGTTAGTTTCGCAATCAATAATATTCAAGAAAGTGAATTACAAAACAATAATTCAAACTTAGCCAAAATTACCTTACCAATATCTTTAAATTATAATTCTAAACCAGAACATATAGGATTATTGGACATACCATTTTTTGGCAATTTAATTTTCAACAACGAATCATTAAATCTTGACCAGTTATTCCCAGAAAAAATCCAATGCAGTGGATCTTCAAAATCTAACTGCAGCATTATAAGCATTGCAAGGAATTTTGCAACCTCCAGAAGCAGTAAACGCAAATAATGATATTATAAATTTATAAACTCATATGCAAGCAAACACTAATGCATTGAATAATCCTCTTGGAAGAAAGACCCGTATGGTTGAAATCCCCAATTATCAAGAAGAAAACCAGAAACCCGTTAGATGGCTGGAAGAATTCACCCGGGTCTGCAATACTAATGGAATCATTAATGCCAGAAAATTAAAAGTGGTACTTGTGTACCTTAAGGGTAGGGTGTATGACAATCATTTCTATTAGTAAATTGCTGCATAAAAAGTAATGTGATTTTTGATAAAATCTAATCTTTCCAAAGACTGAGCGTAGAATAAAAATTTTTTTTGTGTTTACCTTTCAAAAACCTGAGGTTTTTAAATATTATATGAGAAATGTATGTTACTTAGTTAATTTATGCTTGAAATAACAAAATGTGATATTATAACTCTCGCATGAGCCTGGCACTTTCGCATGAAAGGAATAATATTAATAAAAAAAAATGCAGCTATATATAAACTGCTTAAAAATGCTTTATTTTTGCTATTATATACAGTTCCCAGCGAAAAGAATGGCGGAAATGAATTTTTATGGTATGTACTAACTTTATTTTTATTGTAATTTTTTTTTTATTTATTTACAAGACAATCACTAACAGC